GCGGCGGCGGCGGCGGGAGGGGAGGAGAGGGGGGCCGGCGGGGCTCGGCCGCTCGCTTGCCGCCTGACCCCTGAGGCCGGGGAGGAGGTACGGGTGGGGCTGCTGGGGGTCGCCGGCTGGAGCGAAGCATTGCAAGGCGGTCCCCCCAGATCGGGAGGCATCCTAGGGGTTTGTGGGTGCCCCGTGCCCCTGGGGGGTGCTTGGGAAGGGAAGGAGCCTGTGGGCGGCTGTGTTCCCACGACCCTCCGAATCCCGGACTAGTTTACCGCGTTTTCTCTTAGCGTGTTGTCCAAACTTAGCCCGTGTGCCTAATGCGTGGTTCCGTGAGTTGTGCAAATCCAGGACACTGAGTTCATTGAGTCAACCATGGGCTACTGCGTCGTAGGGACACAGCTCAGTGCTAGGATACGAAACTGGGGGCCAGCCTCCCTCCCGCCCTCTCTCCCTCTCGGCCTGGGGACGTGGAAGGCTCCTCCGCAATCGAAGAAAGTGTCCCATGATAGTGTAACACACCCTTTAGCTCCGTGCCACTCTGCGGTTTGTCTCATTCTGGGTGTGCCTTCTGCTTCTTCTATATGAATTCTGTTTAGGGATCACCTTACGTCTTGAAGCAGGTATTCCACCGTGCAGTTGTAACATCCCTGTATAACAATTTAAAAAGATCCAGTAAAATATAGATATAGATATAGATAGATAGATAGATAGATAGATAGATAGATAGATAGATAGATAGATAGATAGATAGATAGAGATTAGGTGCGAGGAGAAGATATTACCTGTTGGTCCTCCAGGATCTTTCACTGGTGTTTCGATGCTCCCATCCACGACATCCTTGGGGCTCATTTAGCCGGAATTGTCTTGCACACTTTTTTCTTATGCTGTTTCCCGTTTTTAGAGATCAGTCGTACAGGAGATTCTGTACAGAGTACCACAAGTTTGTCTTCTGTTTCTGCTCCTGTTCAGTACTTAAATAAAACAGAAAGTCACCAAGCGGAGATTTGGGCAAAACTACCATCATTATTGTGAGGGCGCATAGCACTACTTGGTCTGTAAATATGTCATCGGGAAATTAATGTTGAGATGGAATTGGCCCCATCCCTGGAGGTTGCAAGGGGTTCAGGTTACATCATATCTACACTGCACTTAATGTTCATACTCAATTTAAAATAACGATATTAGTATCTAAACAATTAAACGATTTGGTACCAAGCATTATTTGCATCCATATGGGCTCATTTGTCCATTGTTAGCAGCAACTGGCACAAGGAACAAGCCATTGTTACATGATGCACCTTCCTTACAGAGTTCATGTTCTGCCAAATTTTAGATAATTAAAAAAAAAACAGGTTAAAAAAAACTTTTTTCCAAGCTGGTTTTTGTTAAAAAGGCTGTTCAAGTTGTTATGCTAAAATTATTTTTAGTTGGCTGACTTTCTGAATATTTGAACTGTGAATATTGTACTATTAGCATCCAAATGTATTTTAGTTGGTTGAATTTGTGGATATTTCAATTGCAAATTTTGCATTATTAGCATCCAGTTTTATACATTTAAAAAAATTTATTTGAAGAGTGCCATATAAGTGAATGAGTGAATATAAAAATCCACTACCCAAATTAATGAGCAAGTCCATTAATAAAATATGGTACTCAAATTATACTTCTTCCCTCACACACACAAATAAGAATTTCTTCATGCATTACAGCTTAATTAAGGATTTTCAGTGCATATGGTTGCAATGCTGTATATTGGAAGTGATCTCTTTTGAACATAGCACAACGTTTCCTTTTTTTATTTTTTATTTTTATTTTGGTGTTTTAGTTGACTCCTGGTGACTGCCTGGACAAATCCAAGCAGTTTTCTTGGCCACATTTTTGGAAGTGGTTTGCCATTGCCTTCTTTCTAGCTGGCTTTGTGCGTAGGGAGGACTACACCTCACGGTCTCCCGCTTTCTAGCCTGGCGCCTTAACTGCTGCACCAAACTGGCTGTCTGTACTAAGCTTACTGCTGAGTAAATAAAGAAATATTTTGTAAACTCTGCAAAGGGACAGACACCAAAATGAGTACAACATTTGGAGAACTCTCATCAGGAGGGTTGAATGGATTGTTAAGATTTGCATGAATCAGAAGCATTGTGATTATAGAGAGTAATTTGGTGCGTATGTATCTTCAAAACAAATATAAGCAAATATATAACACATGCAAATTTTCCAGTTTTAAATTTTGTAAAGTAATACTTTTGTAATTTGCTATGATTTGCAGCTCTTGTAAACAAAGGGGTTTCATAAGTTTCTTGAAATCTGTATATATATAATTATATAATTGGAAGGAATGAGAAAAAGAGGATAACCAGCAGAAGGTAGATGAACTCATTTACAGTGGTGATGTGTGCACTGTTAGAAGCCCTGAAAGACCAAGTTAGGGACAGATCATCATGGAGAAAATCTATGTGGTTGCTAAGAGTTGACACCAACTTGATGGCACATAAATCAAAATCAAATGTATATAATATTAATTCAGATTAAATTGCAATTTTCCTAACAACCCTTATATATTGTTTAAAGTAATAGTGTTAATAAAAAGAAAAGTATGTGAGAGAAGTTAGACACACATGATTAGTGAAATGGAAACAGTCCTTTTCCCATACCTTTAAGAGGTAGCGTATGTGTCTATGAATAATGCATATGAGGGTCATCCAAAACAACTGACATGAGAAAGAATAGACAGAATTTATACTGTTAAACATTTAATAATGGAATTCTGACATTGTTAATATTTTTAAATATAACTTTACACTGTATTGCCAAGGGTGTCTAGCAAACAGATCCTTGCTCTCCAGCAGTCTAGTTTCAACAGGTTACATTACTCTGAAACTTAGGTTCAGTTGAATAAGGAATGGCAGAATTACTTGTTTAAGCAGGGATGCTCCATGCTTGCAGCCCACTTAACAGCCCGCTAGCAGTCTTCTGAGTCACTCACAACCCCCTGAAGTGGATGATATTTTTTGCATTGCGGGGGGGGGGGATTTTAAGTGGTAAAATGGGTGCCTTATTTGCAGGGGCTTCATCTTAAAAAATCCAACCCCCCAGTTTCACTCACCCAGTCTTGGCCCCATCCACTTTTGGAACTATGACCTTTGTCATGCTTCACAAAGTCCATTGCAGTCCTCGAGGCAGTGGAAGTCGTACGCTGCTGCTTAAACCAAAGTCTTCTCCAGTCTGATAGTGTCCAATACAGTTGGATACCAATAGTGGATGTGAACAGTTTGATTAGCTGAATGAGCTTGTTCTACACTTTTCCTCTCTAAATTTGTCACTGTGACTTGGTTCACAGAGTAGATATATTTGTTATCTGTTACTTACTAATAATTTTCCCATAATAAGTTAGTGAATTTGAGCTGACACCTCATGAAGAGACACCTCAGATGTTTAAATGTGTGCGTGTCTGTGTGTTTATATTCAAGGAATTATCCCCCTGAACACTGTTAGGAGAAAGATGAGTAATGAATTAGAGACTCAATTTTCTCTTACTTTGTTTTTGTAATATCAATACTGTTTTATGTGCTCAGATTGGCCCAAGGAAAGAACATGTCAGGTTTGTTGTTGCTAATCCTTAAGAGTCAATGTTGTCTACTACTGTATGGTGGTTGACATGCTTACTTTTGTAATGTTAATTATTTATGATTGTGAAATAATGGCTACTAAACTTGCATGCCTCAGCTAATACAAAACAATCTAGCATAACTATTTTTTGAACATGTCTGTTATTTCCCATCATGCCCCATTCAAAGCAAAATATGAGATTTCACAAGCTTAACTAGCTTGGGTAGGTTTAGATATTTTATAATTAACTACACGATCTTGGACATGTTTATGTTGAAATAAACCATCTATAAATAGAATTCTTTCATGGTAAATGGGTTATATGAACACGTTTGTGAGTTCATCAGGAGGCTAACTTTACTTTTCAATACAAATAGTATTGCAAACTAACTGTATTCAAGTAGATTTATTGCTCAGCACTTAAAAGTGTGTGTTATACTAGACATAGCTTTTATCTAATTGCCATAATTGTATGGAAAGTTCACACAGTGTAGATACCGTGAGAGTTTCATGTTGGCATAGCCGCCAATTGAAGTTAAGAATTAGATCAAGATGGCAAAGTAGGAGAGAATAGATGAAAATTTTCACTTGGGAGGCTATATTCATGTTCCCACTCAGCTGTGAAGGTCATTGTGTAGTACACTGAGTAGTACATAAGGCAAGAATAATGGGAAAATTTGCCCCATACCTAAAGGACACTTCACACATGGATGAAACTTCATTTGAAATGATCAAGTGGGTGGACAGTTTTGATTTATCCATAATAATAAGGTGGATGGCTGTATGTCAGTCAGGGCAGTAACATTAATTCATTTAAAAAAATAATCTCGCAGTTTTAGACAGCAACAGAAAGTAAAAAGTAAAGCCTCCTTTGAGGTGCCTACATGGACGTGGACATGATTTCTGGGAATGATTTATCATTTCTTCAAGATTATTTCACTTCCCAATCTAGTCTACAATCTTGGGAGTTCCTGGTAATTTCCAGTCAAGGGCTAACTAGGTCTGGTATTGCTTAACCAAGTGAAAGAAAAGTGAACATATAAAGCCTTAGGCACAAGAGTTTTATTTCTTATTTATATTGCTGATGGTAGGTGAATCCAAAATGATTCTTTCAGTTAGGGATGCAAAATAATTTTGCTGTGGGTTCCACTGAGAGTGGTATTTGTGTGTCTGCTTCCACCAGGCAAATGGAACCTAGGTAGTGTTTGTCTTTCAGCAAAAATAGGCAGAAAACCTGTATATGAAAAGAAGGTACATTATATTACTGAAAGTGATATACAAATAATGGTAGGCAGTCAGAAATTACACTGACGAAATGTGTGTTGAAGAAACCTGTATTGGAAAGTTGTTTGTCAAAGAACAAAAAGATAAATTATTAAAATGTAAATTGTTCAAAAAATTAACTACTACTTAAATCAGAGAAAGAATATTGTTAGGAAATATTGTGAATGTAAGTAGGTATGACATTTTCTGTGGATTTTTAGAGTGGAGTTCTGCCATACTAACGTGAATAGCAAAGTGGATTTTAGCTGGTCTGCTTAGTCTCATTACGGAGTATAGAACTCTTCTGTTTTTAATTCTTCCTTGAAAAAAATTCCGTGCTTTTTTCTCCAAGTTATCAATGTAATTGATAACTTGGAGAAAAAAGCTGTAATCTGTAATCTGAATAAATTTGTGCCTGCCACAGTAATTCTTTAATCGGAATTCATGGGTGTGTACACTGGGGACAAGGAGGGCAGGTGATATCATGTCAGTTTCGATGTCACTGTAGAAATGGTACAAATTCCATATGGAACATCATTTGTGACTGACACAAATCACATCATTCAGATCATTTGCTTTACAATGAGCAACTGAACTTTTCAGTGTTACTTTTTCCTTGAATTATATTAGAAGCTTTCTCCATATATATTCTGCCTTTAATTTCTTCTTGTTTGGTGTAATGAGTTCCTCACAGTGGCGTGGCAATAATTATTTTCATTTTAACAGAAGAAAGTGATAATTGAAATCCCATGGAGTCAAAAATGAAATCTGACATAGGAACACTTAATTCATGACATTTCTGAACAGAACTTTTGAGAAAATATTCTACAGGGAGCTTATCTATCAGAATGGCATTGCCAGATAATATAGCACCATATTGTGCTACCTGGAAACCTTATTTTATGTCGCTTCTGCCTGATTTTAGGAAAGCACTGCAGAATTTAAGGACCTGCCCTGAAGAAGCAGTCTTTCAGTTTTCTCCAACCTGGTGCCCTTCAGAAGACTCCTGTTGGACCAGAACACTCATCATCCCAATCAGCCTGACAACCATACTAATGTGTATTTCTTTTTAATGTTCATTGAGTGCCACTACCAGTTGTATAGCAGATGTACTGCACATAAACACTGCTTGTTGAGATTTAGGGTTTATTCGTATAACTTTATTTTTAATTTATGTTTTTCATTTGGTGTTCATTTATTATAAGGTTTATGCTGCCCATATAACTAGACTCTGAGTGGTGTAGAAAAACAAAACAATAAAAAGTAACCAATGAAATAAAACATAATGCCCCCAATAATGCCCCCCAATTATATAAAACATATAAAAGAGGAAACGACAGCCATCTAGATACTATTAAGTTTTGGAAGCCTCCCAGAATAAAATTCCTAATTAACTAACAAGTATCGCCTTGCTTCTGAAAAACTTGACATTCTCTAGTTGCCAATGCTAGAAATTATGATGAACAATATTTTGTTTTTTCACATTTTGAATTCATTTCAGACTTTGTATATTCTTTGTTTCATTATATCTATTTCTTATGTTGCATTCCCAATTTAGATATGGATGTGTGTTAGAGGACTGATTAAAGATTTTTTCCCCTCGGATACTGGAGTAGACTTACAGATGTTTATTTTCAATTACTTTTCTTAAAGGTCTTCTATTCTGGTTCCTACATGCAAGGTTTTCAAACCATTTTATTTAATCTGTATAGCAGAATTCGTAGTGCTTCAGTTGATGATTTCCTGTATTGTAGTAACACCCAGCTAATACTGGTTGATCTCAAAGCTAAGCATCATTGATCCTGATTAGTACTTGGATGGAAGAGTAGCTGGAAAATCCTTGGGTTACAGTATAGACTAGACCAGTGTTTTTCAAACTTGGCAATTTTAAGATGTGTGGACTTCAATTCCCAGAATTCCCCAGCCAGTGATGGCTGGGGAATTTTAGAAGTTGGTCCACACATCTTAAAGTTGCCAAGTTTGAAAAACACTGGGCTAGACCATGTAGTTGAAAAGTATCCTGAAAAAAGACAGTGGTAAACTGCTTCCATATTGCTCTAAAAAAAACTACGTGAAGTTGTCTTTGTAGAAGCCATGAGAGTCTTTTCAGCACCAGTGTACTCTGCTTTGTCAAAGTTTGTATGTAATTTAATGTTATAAAAAATGTCTACTGCTTGGCATATTTCCTCAGAGGTTCAGTTTTATTTAGTGGAGATTATGCCCAAATAAGTATACATACTATGTTCTGTGAATTTTAGCCCACTATCCATCTGAAATCTCAGTGGGAGTATCAGTTTAAATCTCTTTTTTAAATAAACAAGATGAATTATTGAAAAAAACTCTGCTCAAGTCTTTATGTATGTCCTTGTTTGTGTTCTGTGCTGGTTCAAAAGTATCAGAAGACAATTCTTGACTTTTGAGCTATGTCATAGATTTGTCTCCATGCTTCACTAGACTCTTATAATTTAAATTCCACTAAGAGTTTATTTAAATGTCACAGACTTGTGCAAAGCCCTTATTGACAAGAACTTAATGTGTATTTATACTATTTATTATTGTGTTCATTTTCTAAATTGCATGCAGTATATGCACAATATAATAGCTTGGTGATTGCAGGGCTACCAAGAAGACAATGGGTGTGAGTGAAAAATTGTCCTCTGTAAAGAGTTCCTAAACATCCTGCCTGTGTGTAGAAAGGCCACCAGAGGAAATAAGGAGAGCATGATGTAATGTTTATGTAAGGCCTATTCCTTGAAATATTAGAAGAGACAATTTCAAGTGATAGTCAGTGACCTAAAAAGTTAAATATAAATATAACTCTGATAATAGGAATTACTTAAGTGTTTTAAAGATAGTGTTGATCTTTACAGAAATTCAGATATATGTGTAAAGACAGTATATGTACTGAAACACAGGAGAAAGCAAAACCAATATATAATTTTGGAATCTTAATTTTTGACAAAGTAGAAATTGTATAATAGTGATAAAGTAAGGGAGGAAGACATTTTTAGAACAAATAGAGGTGATGACACAGAAATCAAGGATATGACATGGGTGTTTCACACATAATTCTAACCAAGATTTTCTAAAACATGGTTTGTTGAGTAAGTGATAGTGATCTGGCTGGCACATAACCCATAATGGATGATATTACACATGGCACTAAGCTAAAAGTACACAAACTGTTTTAAAGGCACTGTTTGTTTTGAAAAAAACAATACTTAATGGAGTATCTAGTTATACTAGGAGTATCTCTTTTAATTCACTTCATATACCTAATATTTTGACTTTTTAATGGCGCTTGGACATTAACTTTGAATAATCTTTCTTAACTTGATCCACAAAGGCAGCAGGTTGGAGAAGACCACCATAAGATAATGGATCCCATAACATCTTAAACAGACTTCTGAGCACCAGATTTAGAGAAAGTGTTGCTGTTCTTTAAATATTGTATCCTAATTCCAAATTTCTGCCAGGCCAAAGGAAAGAAGAGGTTTGAAATTTGCAGCAGTTTCTGTCACTTTCCTTTCCAAAACATGAAGTAATTGGAAAACTATGATTTTACTGTGGAATATGTTACACGTTCTTTGAAATGGCATTATGAATGAAATGACAAGTGTTAAAAATTTAACCATGTATTTCAAGTTCACTCAAAGACCATTTTATTCAAATTCCAGTAATCATTGTAAAGTGGGGAAGTTGTTTTGAACAGGTTCTTAGATGGTGAGCTTCATCACCTTCAATGGGCTTTCACAAACAAAATGCTTTCTGCAAGGATGGTCTGTTGCTACATTATTGGAAAGGGTCCAAGCAACAAAATTTTGCATGCTTATCATCAAGAGAAAACATGGAAAATCAAGTTTGCAAACATAGCATTTTTTTTTGAAAATTGTATTTTGTATGTAGGTGCATATAATTTAATCTGAAATAGAAAAAAATCATTGTGTTTAACTGTCAGAATTTAAAGTTTTTATGTAAGTCGGGTCATTCAACTTCGTTTGGGATACAGAGGATGTTCAGAGGGTTGTCTCACTATTTCGCAGAGGCAGTAAATTTAAGTTATCTCTTTATTTTCAGATGAAAGAAGTAGAAGAATGTATAGAAGAGATGTTAATAAGACTGGATGAGTTCTGTGGAATGACTGATATGGTATGTGTTTAGTTCAGCTTCTGTAGACCTTGGAGAATATAAATACTTCCTCTATGTTGTCTCCTCTGGAGGCCATCTTGAGAGTGATTTAGAAACAGCAGCTCAGGCTGCAGTGAGCTGTGTGGGAAGAGGGAGCTATTTCTCTCTCCTCTCTCTCAACACGCACGCACGCGTGCACACACACACACACGCTCATGTTCTTCCTAAGGCAGCCATCTTGATAACAACCTTCTCTGAAATGGTTTTTATTACTGAGAACAGTGATGGTTGAGCCACAAGGTGGCACCATGGTGCACAAATACTTGCGGGCCTAGACAAGTGCTCTTTGCTTGTAAAGTTTATGTGCACCATTCCTACCTGCATGCATAAACACAATAAGGAGCTCTGCTGTTCTCACAAATATCTCTTTGTGGCTATTTGAATACTGTATGAAAGATTCCCCATGTTAGTTCTAGAGGGAAAATCTGCATACTCTCCCCTAGATTTCCCCTTTGTATTTCAGTGGAGGATAAAACCTAATGCCATGAAGTTGATAGCTGCCCAAAGATCATCTTGGAAAGGGATTGTGGACTTTTATTCGAGGGCCAAAAAACATATTCCCAAGAGGTCCACTGATCTTGTGTCATGATAATTGACTACTTTGCAACTGATGATTTAAAATGTGGATATTGATACAGTCCTGCTGATATCATCAGGGCATATTCAGCATAACTGGACATGGTTGTTCTTTGCAGCATCTTTAACCAATGCTTTGCATTGCAATGATTTGTGGACCCTTTTTAATCATTGCATTCTGACTCATAATAAGTAAAGTGTGGTATGCATCAGCTTAGTCTAGAAAGCCATGCTTAACAGTTCTTCCAAAGAACATCAGCGATTTGTCAAGTATGTAGTGCAACTTCAAAGGGTAGCTTAGCTTTCCTAAGAATACATAGGCTGTTTTCATAGGTATTCAGATTCTACCATTTCAGATTTTTCTGTTCAAGTGGCAACCAACAAAATGTTTAAGGTTACTTTCCTAGGAATTATCTCTATTGAATTCAAGGATACAGGTTTCTCCATAGATAGTGGTAGATTTGTGCTATTGGTTTCTTTGTTGTATTATTATTATTATTTTACAGAACTAACGTTCTCTACTATGACTAAAAAGGGGAAAAAACCCCGAGAAAATTACCCTTTTTTAGCCTGTCTCACCTTGTAACTTTTTTGATGTTGTTTTCTTTGCTGTCTCTTGCACTCAAGGGACAGGAAACTATTTTTATTTTGTTTTTATTGATTTTTAAGATGTTACTGTCCTCAGTTCAAAATATCCAGAGCTGTTAACAGTAATAGTTAAACACAATAAGAGCATCAAATACAGCAGGAAAAAGAAGTAATAAAAGCTTAGAACTCAAAAATAACATGGGTGCCAGATGAGTCTTTTTTACATGGACAGTGCCTTTGCTTATATTAAGTTTTTAAAAAGGATACATTTTGTTCTACTGAGATTTTTTGACGACTTAAACAATCAAAAATCACTTAGATAGGCTCAATAAATGTTCAGATTACCCAGAAAAAAATTTATCTAGTCTCTTTTATAGCAAAGAGGATCAACTAATTCTTCATTTGATCCTCATTAATTTATTTTATGCATTTATTTATTTATATTTCAAATTTGTCACTGCCCATCTCACTGCAGAGTGACTTGGAAGACTTAGTAGACAAAGTGAAACCAGTGAGGGCTTTGGGGAAGAATAGCAAATAATGCTGATGTAGTCAAAAGCATATCTTAAACTTGAAAGAAGCAGATTTTAATAAATTCAAAAGTATAATTCAACGGGAGGAGAAGCTCATGGAGAAAGACCCCGGGTGTGTGTGTGCAAAAAAGTAATAATATAATCACAATTACAAATAATTCCAATGATGAAAGGAAGTGGAAAACAACAGAAGCAGCCACTGAGCCTATAAAAAACAATGGTTTAATATGTCATTACATTGGTAGAGTTGTTTTTTGTTATTATTTTATTCTGCCTTTTTTATATTTGGTCAGTTCAAGGCAGCAAACATACCTAATACTCTTGCCTCCTATTTCCCCCACAACAACTCCTCTTTGTGTTGTGGTAATTACAGAGGAATTATGTTTGGAAACCATATTTGGCTGTTACATTTTCTTTTGCATGGATGTAAGAAGTAAAACATTGCAATTTTCCAAAAGGAGCTATAGTGAGTCTGCATGTTGTGTTAAGTTTAATCGTTAATGTGGTCCTAAGGGGATTTAGACAGGGACTTACCTGTGTCCCAAAAAAAAGGTGCTTTTTCAGCAAAGACGTACATAATAAAGAAACTAAATATTTGCTGCACGTTTCTTTCCTCATAAAGTTCCAGAGAGAAAAAGGAATTCCCTAGGAGAGGGGAAGCTAAGCCTAGTTGAGCCTGGTTAATATGGAATGGAAATCTCCAGGGAATGCCAGGGCTGTAGGCTGGATTGGGACATTGAATAAGCATTCTGAGGGAAGGCAGTGGCAAACCATTTCCATACGGCTGATGAGAAAACAATATGGACACGTCTATGAAGTCACCAGGAATTGAGCTTCACCTGAAAGATACTTTACCTTTTGTGGTAAGATGATGTAGACCAGGGTTTTTCAACCTCAGCAACTTTAAGATGTGTGGACTTCAACTCCCAGAATTCCCCAGCCAAGCCAGGCT